GTGGTGGAGTTGCTGCTGACAACCACCCTCAACAGGTCTGCACCCATACAGGAAATATCTGTCTTCCTCAAGCTTGGTTCTACATTCTATCTGTATTACTGAGTTATTGACTGAGACTTTGTTTTGGAAGGCGGCTGATTGACTACTGGTCTGGATATTGACTCTAACTCTTGTTTCCAAGCTCATATCCTCAATCACTTAAAGATCAGTGTGTAGAAACAAACCAGTGACAGATCTGTGGTTGAGGTTTAGACTGGGGGTGGAGTATATTACTGGACTTTCTTCATAACTTGTACCATGACTGGGGCAGAGATTGAGTCTGCTGCCCAGGTCAAGCCTGAAAAGAAGCCTGGGGAAGAGGTTGTAGGTGGGGCTGAGAGAGAGAATGATATCCCTCTGGTGGTCAGACCCAAGGTTAGGACCCAGGCCCAGATAATGACTGGGACAAAGACAAAGAATAAGTCCAAGGTTATGCCTGGAGGAAGCACCAAAGCTGAGACAAGTGCAGTGGGTGGGGCACGTCCTAAGAATAAGGCCAAGGCAATACCTGTTTCACAGTTTAAGGATGAAGCCCAGATGTGGGCTCAGACCGAGTTTGGTGCTGAAAGAATGTCTAAGACAGAGAGAAACCCCCAGACTAATATAGCCTCTCCACTTGTCGGTACTGATTCTGTGTTGGTTGCGAAAACGAAGTTCCTGTGTGAGGATGGAGAACTGGTTAATACAGACACTGAGAGCTTTCCTGGAAGAAAGGCTCATTACCAAGCAGAATTCCAGCCTTCTTTCAGGTCAGAGGAGGAGACCAATATGGGGTCCTGGTGCTGTTCTAGGTCTACATCCAAACAAGAAGCTTCTCCTAATTCTGATTTCCAATGGGTAGAAAAATCTTCTGTGAGTTCCTTGTTCTGGAATGGAGATGAGGTCACTGAAAGATGTCATCCTAGAAACAGGGTAAAAGACAGTACCAGATCCAGGCACATGGCCAATCAAGAGGCTAATACCATGTCTAGGTCCCAGACTAACCAGGAGCTCTATATTGCATCTAGTTCTGGTTCTGAGGATGAGTCTGTTACAACATCCTGGTTCTGGGCCAGAAATAAAACCAATACCTGGTCTGGGCCCAGGGAAGATCCCAATAGAAGGTCCAGGTTTAGGTCCAAGAAAGAAGTCTATGTTGAACCCAGTTCTGGGTCTGAGCGTGAAGACCATATGGAGTCTTGGTTCTGGGCTGGAGAGGAGGCCAAATTCAGGTCCAAAACCAGAACTGGGAAGGAAGCCAATACCAGGGCCAGGCATAGGGCCAAGCGAGAAACTTGCATTGATTTCATGCCCGGGTCTATAGATGTGATTAAAAAAGGGTCCTGGTTCTGGCCTGAAGAAAATGCTAATACCTTTTCAAGGCCCATGATCAAGAAAGAGGCCAGGTCCAGAGCAATGGCAAAGAAAGAAGCCAAAACCAAGGCCCGAGCCAGGGCCAAGCAAGAAGTTAGGTCAGAGGAGGAAGCCCTCATTGGGACCTGGTTCTGGGCTACAGACGAGTCCAGTGTGGCAGATGAAGCCAGCACTGTGTCCAGTCCACAAGTGGAGGATGAGTCCATAGTTGGGAGTTGGTTCTGGACTGAAGAAGGGGCCAGTATGGGGACTGGGGCCAGCAGTGAATCCAAACCAAGGACTGAAGGGGAGCCTATTGGTTATTCCTTATTTGGGGCTGGGGAAAAGACCAGTATGAAAACTGGGGCTGAGGTCACTTCTGAATCTTTACTAGCAGCTGATGATGAACAGGTCATTATTGGTTCCTGGTTCTGGGCTAGTGAAGAAGTCAATCAAGAGGCTGAGGAAGAGACCATTTTTGGGTCTTGGTTCTGGGTCATTGATGAGGCCAGTGTGGAATCTGGTATTGGGGTCAGCTGTGAGTCCAGGACAAGGTCTGAGGAAGAAGAGGTCATTGGTTCCTGGCTTTGGTCTGGAGAACAAGCTGATATAGAGGCTGGGATTGGAGAAGAGGCCAGACCAGGAGCTGAAGAAGAGACAATATTTGGGTCCTGGTTTTGGGCTGAAAACCAGACCTATAGGGATTGTAGGGCTGAAGCTAGCTGTGACAACATGCAAGGGGCTGAGGAGGAGGAGCCCATTATTGGGTCCTGGTTTTGGACCAGAGTAGAAGCTTGTGTGGAGGATGATGTCAACAGCAAGTCTAACCTGGAGGACAAGGAAGAGGCCATTATATCATCATGTTTTGGGGCCAAAGAAGAGGTCAGTATGAAGCATGGGACTGGTGTCAGATGCAGATTTATGGCAGGGGCTGAGGAGACTAGTAATAGATCTTGCTTCTGGGCAGAAAAAGAACCTTGTATGTATCCTGCCAACGGAGGAAGTTGGAAGTCTAGGCCAGAGGAGGAAGAGGACACTGTCAATTCATGGTTCTGGTCCAGAAAATATACAGAGCCAGAGGCCATTACAGCGTCCTGGTTATGGGCTGCAGAAGAGAGTAATATAGATGGGACTGGAGAAGAAGCCAAGTTACTGACTGAAGAGGAGACCATGATCAATTCCTGGTTCTGGAAAGATGATGAAGCCATGTCAGAGGCTACTCACAGAGAAGAGTCCAGGCCAGAAGCTGAGGAAAATGACATTTTTGGTTCTTGGTTCTGGGCTGGAGAAGAGGACAGACTAGAGCCAGCTGCTGAGACTAGAGAAGACAGGCTAGCAGCTGAGAAAGAAGGTATTGTTGGGTCCTGGTTTGGGGCCAGGGAAGAGATTAGAAGAGAGGCTGGGTCTTGCAGCAAATCCAGTACTAAAGCTGAAGAGGAAGAAGTCATTATTGGGTCCTGGTTCTGGGAAGAAAAGGCCAGTCTGGAGGCAGTGGCAGGAGCTGGCTTTGAGTCAAAGCCTGGGACTGAGGAGGAAGAAATCACTGTTGGGTCCTGGTTCTGGCCTGAAGAAGAAGCCAGTATAGAGGCTGGATCTCAGGCAGTAGAGGAGATGGAGTCAGAGGCTGAAGAGGAAACCATTTTTGGGTCTTGGTTCTGGGCTGGAAAAGTAGTCAGTGTAGAAGCAGGGATAGACTGTGTATCCAAAGCAGAGGATAATGAAGAGATGATTGTTGAGTCCTGGTTCTGGTCTGGAGACAAGGCCATTAAGGAAACAGGAACTGTGGCCACCTGTGAGTCAAAGCCAGAAAATGAGGAAGGGGTCATTGCTGGGTCTTGGTTTGAGGCTGAAGATGAGGTGGATAACAGGACTGACAATGGAACCAACTGTGAGCCCTGGACACTAGATGATGAAGATGAGGCCATAGTGGGGTCCTGGTTCTGGGCAGGAGATGAGACCCATTTTGAGTCAAATCCTAGCCCCGTGTTCAGGGCTGTTTGCACGTCCACGTGTTCAGTTGAACAGGAGCCTGATCCTTCACGCAGGCCCCAGAGCTGGGAGGAGGTCACTGTTAAGTTCAAGCCTGGTCCATGGGGTAGGGTCGGCTTCCCATCTATAAGCCCCTTTAGATTTCCAAAAGAGGCAGCATCTTTATTCTGTGAAATGTTTGGGGGCAAACCTAGGAACATGGTACTTAGCCCAGAAGGGGAAGATCAGGAATCTTTGCTTCAACCTGATCAGCCTGACCCTGAGTTCCCATTTCAGTATGATCCTTCCTACCGGTCAGTCCAGGAAATTCGAGAGCATCTTAGGGCCAAGGAGAGTGCAGAGCCTGAGAATTGGTCCTGCAGCTGCATACAATGTGAGCTGAAAATTGGTTCCGAGGAGTTTGAAGAACTCCTTTTGTTAATGGATAGAAATCGGGATCCTTTTATTCATGAAATATCTAAAATTGCAATGGGTATGAGAAGTGCTTCTCAATTTACCCGAGATTTCATTCGGGATTCCGGTGTTGTCTCACTTATAGAAGCCTTGCTCAATTATCCGTCCTCCCGAGTTAGAACAAGGTTTTTGGAAAATATGATTCGCATGGCCCCAACTTATCCAAATCTAAACATGATTCAGACATACGTATGTAAAGTGTGTGAGGAAACCCTTACTTGTAGTTTGGATTCCCCGGAACAGCTGTCTGGAATAAGAATGATTAGACATCTTACTACTACTACTGACTATCACACACTGGTTGCCAATTATATGTCTGGGTTTCTCTCTTTATTAGCTACAGGCAATACCAAAACAAGGTTTCATGTTTTGAAAATGCTACTGAATTTGTCTGAAAATCTTGTCATGACAAAAGAACTACTCAGTGATGAAGCAGTGTCAGAATTTATGGGCCTTTTTCACAGGGATGAGACAAATGACAATATTCAAATTGTTCTTGCAATATTTGAGAATATTGGCAACAATATCAAAAAAGAAACAGTGTTCTGTGATGATGATTTCGATCTTGAGCCGCTTATTTCTGCATTCCACAAAGTTGAGAAATTTGCTAAGGAACTGCAAGGCAAAACAGACAATCAAAATGACCCTGAAGGGGACCAAGAAAATTAGTAATGGTTAATCACTGGCCTCAGATTGTCTTTATGTTCCTGGGTTATGATCCTTGAATAATGCTTTGGTTTTGACAGTTGGTTCTGTGTTGTAATGTATATGTTTAATGCTGACACTAACTTTGTCCAACTTTGTCTGTAAGCTGGAGCATTTTTCTGATGCCAAATGAATATTAGAGCTGAAAACACATTTGCTTATATTTGCCTTGTCCAAATTGTGGTGTTCAGTATTTGAGCTTATAGTGAACTGAGCATTCATAAATAAGCAACCCTTCTGATTACTGTTCTACTGTATATCTATCTGAGTGTTGTTTGTGTTTCAATAAAGTTCTGTGTTAAAGTTGGCAGAAATCACCCTTCTTCTTGAACTTAAAATGCAGACCCAATGATAACACATGAGCAAACATAATTAATATATGAATAATTGTTTGTTTCAAAAGCTTTTTCTCAGCTTTAAACACAAAAATTACCATGGACTGCTATGTAGGGCATATTTCAGAGAAAAAGAAGCTACTTCAGTTGCTTCAGAGAAGACTCTGAAGTTTGGGAAAGAGGTGTTGTAAAAAAAAAATAAGAAGCAAAAAACAAAAAAACAAAACAAAACAAAACAAAAAAAAATAAGAAGCATGGAGCTGGGAAAATTTTTCCTATGGGTGTGAGGTATCCAGTTTGCCTAGAGTGAGTGAGGAATATATTGAGTAACATAGAGGATAATGTAAGTTTCAAAGAGCTGAGAATTTGCATTTTACAGATCAAATTACAACTGCTGCTCCCATACTACCTAAAGGGTAAAAGAATAAGACAGGAAAGCACAGGAATTTGAGTGAGTCAGGAAGACAATTTAATTATAATGGTACCATGGTAAGTGTTAAGGCAACATCATACAGCCATTAAATGTGATGATGTATAGGGTTTAAAATTAGGAAAAGCCCTGACACTTTCAATATTTCGTATAATAGAGAAGACTGGTGTCAGACATAGGAAGTATGATCCCATTTTAAAAATAAATGTGAGTAAATTGACCAAACTCATGTTAAGTGTATATTATTTAATTACAGAAAATTCTACAATGATATAAAATGTATCAAAGGAATAAAGAGGTAAGAGAGACTACAACTTCAGAAGAACCAGCTTGTCAAATAAAAACAAAAAATTATTTAAAGGACCAAACTGCAAAATTACCAAAGTTTCTGAGTTCATCCCACTTGTAGTTTTACATTTTAAAAGGTTGCAACATATGTTCGAACAGTAGCAAGAGACAGGGATAAAGTCGGTTTGGGGAGGCAGTCCAGGATAATGAGAAATATGCAAAGTTTTATTTTCTCAGGAAAAAAACTAGATACAGTGACCCTTTTACATTTCGTTTGTCTCGGGGTGCAAAGTGCTTTTTCCCGCCTGATCTTATGTCCCATTACTTACTATTTCTGATTCATTATAAATTATATAAATTAAATTCCAATATGATGTTAGTTTGCTAAGGTTTCCGAAAGTACGGCAACATGGCGGTTTTGCCTCCCTTCTCAAATCAGAAGTTTTACCAGGGATCATACTGGTGGTGCAAATTGGAGTTTGTTTGTTTTGCGTACCAGCATTTTTCAAGACAGATCTTGCGTGTGTTTTACTATGACACTCTAGTCGTATACAAAATACTACAAATCACTTCATCTCCCAAATCCTCATCGAATGATCCTCGCCAGCCGAGTGGTCCTCCAGAGCAAAGCCCTGCCTTCCTTCCAGCTGTCTGGGCCAGGAGCTTCAGAGTCTTCTAGCAAGCACCCTAGAGGCAGAAGACTGTCATTCATGATACTGGGCTGCCGCAAACAAGCTGACTGCGCAGTCATGTTGGGGGGAGGGGGGAGGCGGGGCTGACGGTAGGTCATGTGACCAGGCTCTGGCTTGCGCCGGCCAAGGGAAGTGTTTTCTTACACCCAGAAGTACAGGAAAGGTGGACTACACCTGTGCTCCGCAGAGCGGGAGGTGGAACGGCGGGATGTTAAGGTGGGTAGGTCTCTCCACGCTGCATCAGCTTGAAAACTAATTTCCCAGGTGACCGGAATTACAGCATTCGTTGGTAGAGGAAGCGATTCCTCAGCCAACCGGGAGCGGCTTATCCGGTCTGTCTTTTGTCCCGGAGCTCAAGAAACAGAGAGTCGACTTGCCCGAGGAGTTCCTAGAGAGAAGCAGGGGTTGCTATTGAAGGAGGTGGGTGCAAGGACAGCAGATGTCATCACTGAGAGGCGATGGCTGAGACTAGATGCGAGTGCAGGTAATGCCTTGGGTCCGCCAGCTCTCTCCTGCCTTCTCAACACCCCAGTGCTCCCAGCCCAGCGCCCTGTGTTTTTATGTGTGGGTGGGAGAGGTGGACATATGGATGCAGTTGGCTTCAGAGGAGCCCAGAGAGGTGAAATGGTAACGTGATAATTCGTGCACACCTGTGGTGCTGGACCAGGAAAGGTAGGGGTGGGGATGGGAACCGTGGGCTATGCTACTGCAGTCTTCCTCCCACCAAGTCCACACTCTCTCTGCCCTCTGTCTGTCTTCTTACTGGTAGTATTCAGGCAGTGGGGATCGCCGACACCAGCCCAAAACTGGGGCAGAGTGGAGGAGGGCAAGAGAAGGAAACACATACATCTGCCTTTTGCTCCAACGCTCCAGCTGGCTGGGGATGCAAGAGAGGAATGAACCTCAATCCGGGCAGTTCTAGGAAAAGGAGAAGGAGACATAGACTCGAGGGGAGGAAACCTAGATGCTCTGGGCCCTTTACCTAGGATTTCTCATTAGGATACTCCAAGGTTCTCGACCCCCCAAGGGGATTCCTGGATCTCAGCCCCATGCAGCAGGATCTCAGTCCCACTGAGGGACACAAAGTGGGTTGCTGCTCCATGTGACGCTCTCTCTCCTTGCTGTCTTGGGCCTCAGAGGAGGGTCTTTCTCGGAACCACCTACAGAAACTGCTTCATGGATAGTCTCGTAGGTTTCCCTCTGCATACCCTTTGCTTTCTTGTGTTGGGATCTCTGCTCATTCCTTAGGGCATGTTTCTTTGGTCCCATCCCAGATAGCAGCCTAGTGATAAGTCCTTGTCCTCTTTCACATTGTGTATCCTCCTTTCCCCCTACCCCATGCATCCACTGGGTACCAAGTGAAAGAAAATGGTTCCTCTGCTCACAATACTTCTGGCAAAGAATGTGTGGATTTCTCACACCAAGCAATTCTATTATTTGAGGACATCAGCTAGGTATCCTACAATTTGATTCAATTCTGACACTGCCCAGAGTTAGTGCAGACCTCTCTGGTTAGGGGCTCATTCCCATAAGACTGCCTTCTCCCCACTTCAGACAACAATCACAAGTAATAGATCTCCAGATTACCCATACTTCTGTCTCACTTACCTACTGATTGGGAGTTCCCACAACCCCCTCATCAGGTTCAATAATTTGCTATAAGGGCCCATAGAACTGAGGGAAACAGTACTTCCTATTACTGGTTTATTATAAAGAATATAAATTAAAATCCAGATGAAGAAGTATATAGGGCAAGGCCCAGAAGGGTCCCAAATGCAGACGCTGCCATCCATGTGGATTTGGGGTACACTACCTTCCCAGAATATGAATGTGTTCACCAAACTGGAAAATCTCAGACATTTAGGGTTTTTTTAGAGGTTTCATTACATAGACATGATTGATGAAATCATTGATAATTGGTGATTAGCTCAGTGTCCAGCCCCTATCCTCTCCTTGGAGGTCAAGGGGTGAGGGTGAAAGTTCCAGCCTTCTAATCATGTCTTAGTAGGGGAGTGCAGGAGGGGGCAACGTGGACATTTGCCTTTTGCTCCAAGGCTCTAAGTGGGTGGGAATGCAAGGGAGGATTGAACCTCAATTTTCAGCTCTAGGGAAGAAAGGAGGAAACAGAGACTCAAAAGGAGGGCAACTATATGCTTTGGGTTCTTTACATAGGAATTTTCACTGGGATATTCTGCGTTTCTCAACCCCCAAGTCAATTTCTGGATCTCAACCTCAGGCAGCAGCATCCTGAGGATCTGCTCTGGATATGAGGTCCTAAAAGAACCCAGTCTCACTTTGCTCTCAACGGTTCCCATCCATCTAATGACAAGGGTTCCTGCTCCATCTGATGCCCCCTCTTCCTAGGTCTCAGAAGAGGCCTCAGAAAAGGGTCTTTCTGAGAACCACCTACAGAGACTGTCTTACAGATTCCCCTCTGTAGACCCTTTGCTGTCTTCCTTGTTTCTGTTTTATGGCCAATGCTTTAGACTTGGTGATTTGCACCCGTTCTTGGTGACACCTCCTTGTTGGTGTTGAACCCTTTTGGTCGTAGCTCAGCTCTATGAGACAGCCACATGATACCAAATTCTTTTAGGAGAATACATTAGAAAAAATAAATTATATTAGTCTTATTAACCTCTATATTTGTACATCTTACAGATTTGAAGCCAATTCTTAAATGTCTTCCACATTCTTTTTTACAGCTGGATAGTACTTTATTGTGTCACTACCATTATTTAATCACTTTCCAATGAGTGGACACTCATTTCTAATATTAAACTATTACAAACAATACTGGAAGGAACAACCTTGTGCAAATATACAGTATTTTTATATGTTTGGATGTGTATCTTCACAGATTCCTAGAAGTGCTGCTGGGAGGTCAAATAGTAAGTGCATATGCATAGTTTTATTAGGTATTCTCAAATTCCCCTCCAAAGGGCTACTATAAGTATTTACTGCCACCAGCAGTTTATGTGAGTGCCTGTTTTACCACAGCTTTGTTAATCAGTTTCTTATTATTCTTTTGACATTTGTAGAGTATCTGATGATTTAACCTCTCTCATTCCTGATGTTACTAATTGTGTCTTCTCCTTCTCCCTCTTTTTAAAAATTTCTCTGCCTAGGGGCTTATCAATTTTATTGATCATCTCAATGAACTAGAGTTTAGTCTTACTGATTTTCTTTATTGTTTGACTACTTTCTATTTTTTTGATTTCTCCCTTTATATTTATTATTTCTTTTCTTTTGTTTACTTGGTGTTTAAGTTACTCTGCTTTTACTGGTTACCTACATTATAAACTGAGGCCATTGATTTGAGACCTTTCTTCTTTTTTAATCTAGGCATTTTAGTGCTGTAAATTCCCCTCTAATACTATTTTAGCTATATCTCACAATTTTTGGTGTTTTTTGTTTTCATTTTTCTTCAGTTTGAAATTACTAACTGATTTATCTTTATCGTTGAATTTGTTCTTTGTTCCAAGAGTTATTTAGATGTATGCTGTGTAGTTCTCAAGTATTTTGGGATTTTCCAGTTATACTTCGTATAACTTGAATCCTTTTAATTTATT